TGCGCGGGCTGGCAGTAGTTTGTATGGCGCTTGCCTGAATCTCGCCAGTGGTGAGACTGAGAGCTTCTCTGGAACGGGAAGGGTCATGGGAACAGCTTGTAGGTGAGATGGGCGAGACAGACGTGTGCATCGCAGCTGGCTCTGTCTTTATTGCAGTGTACCTGGAGACCTACGGCTGCCAAATGAACGTCAATGACACGGAGATCGCGTGGGCCATCCTGCAGAAGCATGGCTACACGAGGACGAAGGCGCTCGAGGAGGTGAGGCACCGGTGACGCAGGCCTCTGCCAGGGCTTCGCACCAGGGCTGTGTCTCCGAGTCCCTCCCCTGGCCAGAGTAGAGAGGCAGATTTTATCTTGAGCACAATCCTGCAGGATGGCAGGATTTCTGCAGTCTAAGTTTGTGGAGTAAATGAAACTACTTGACAAGCATGATATAAAGCTGTAGGGTTTTTATTTCCTTTAAACTGCTGGGTTTTATCTCAGTTGGAAAGGGGATTGGATGCAGCAGTATGCTCCTGACTCATCTTTATCTGAGTTTACTTACACCATTTGGTGGACTACTGCTCATCTGCTGTTGAGTTTTCTTGTAACTTTGTTGAAAACCACTGCATGTTTGGGCAGATCTTATTCACTGAATTAAGTGGGTTTGATGTCTGCCTTCTCGTGTTGCTTGTGCAGGGGATTAGTACTTCTTGTTGGCTTTTACAAATTCTCTTTCCTTTTTTTTTTTTTTTTGGCCTCAATCTAGGCAGATGTGATTCTCCTCGTCACCTGTTCGGTGAGGTAAGAAACCTTTTGTCACTGCTGTTTCTAGAACATTTTTAAAGGCGTTTCCATTTGAAAACCAAGGCAGTAAATATGTTTTATGAGAAAAGAGGTTGTAGATGTGAAACTACCTTTTAGTTTAGAGTAGAGCTAACTGATGTTCCTGCATGTGACATTAATTGTGCTATAAATTAGTATTCCATATAGTGAGAAAAAACTCTTTGGTAGTGTATGATCTGTGTATATGTCATAAGCAGTTAGAAGCATGCACAGATTTGTGCGTCTTTGATATTTCTTTGTCTTCTGTGTTCTCTTGCAGTGACTATCTTTGCAGTACGAGGTCTGTACTTTAAACATTTGGGAAATATGTTTCTGGGAAACTTGGGAAATACATCTGTAGCTATATAGCTTGTAGCTATGTAGCTTTGCCTGTTTTTTTCAGACTTCAGAGCAAAATGCTCATGGTAGCTTGTGAGGTAGCTCATACTTAATGGCTAGGTCAGGCTTTCTCTGCAAGAGCTTAGCCTCTGAGTCATTTCCCCAGTGTAGATATTCCCAAGCAAGTAAAATGGTAGTAGATAAAAGAGAGAGAAGACACAGTGCACATGCTACAAACAGCACTTCCATGTGCAATCAAATCAATCAGGTGAGTGATTCCCTGTGTTTAGTTAATTTTCCTCACAAAGCTTTTGGGCCTTCAGGTTGGAGGATCGTTAAAGTGCAGCCAGTCAGAATAACCACTGTGTTCCTGGCTTCCCAGGGAGAAAGCAGAACAGGCTATCTGGAATCGCCTGCAGCACCTCAAGGCTCTGAAAGCGCGGCGACACCAGGCTCGCTTACCTCTCCACATCGGGATTCTAGGTACCTGGCAGGACGTGCAGCAGTTGGTAACATACACTGTTGTGATGCATCCCATCACTCTGCATTTTCTCTCCTCTTCTGGTGGTATATCAAGCCTTCTCTGCAGGGTGAAAGCAGCTAGTGGGGGGATGCAGAGGTGTCACTGAGGATGGACACTTCCTCACAGAGACCGTTCTCCTTTGGCGGCAGGTTGCATGGCTGAGAGGCTTAAGGAGAAGATTCTGCACAGGGAGAAGCTAGTGGATATTGTGGCAGGCCCCGATGCATATCGTGACCTTCCCAGGCTGCTGGCAGTGGCTGACTCTGGCCAACAAGCTGCTAACGTCCTGCTATCGCTAGAGGAGACTTATGCAGATGTTCTGCCTGTCCAGACTAGTGCAGGTGGCACAACAGCATTTGTGTAAGTGCCTTATTTTCCCGTGCATGTTTCTATGGTTCTTGTTTGGAAATACTGCTGTGCAGAACAGACACGTCAGTGACAGTAGCTACCCAAGAGATGTAATGCCTGGTTGCACTCGCTCCCAGCAGCCCAGAGACGCCAGTCTGGCAGACTGTTTGTTACTTCTTTGCTCTCTGACTGAGCCCTGGAAGACTGACCTGTCCTCTGGCTGGTTGTAGGCTTCTCTTAGTCTCCTCTGAGAATGTTGATTGTCAAAGCCTGATTCTGCACCAAGTGATTTCTGTCCCACTGATATTTGTGCCTTTTGAAAATCTGTGCCGCGCTCATCCCTGCCTTCTGCTATGTCCTATCCCACATTTTCCTATTTAATCTTTCTAATCCTTCCATGCATTGTGATTTCTGTTGATTTTTCTTCCATTTAATTTGTACAGTTTTGATAATGAGATTCCCAAACATGAAATTGGGCTCTGTTCAATCTGGCCATAGGGTACAGAGGGACAGTTAACCCCCTGTGTGATGCAGAAGGATCTTTCATTACTGCCAGACTGCAACACAAGCCCATGTCTCATTAGCTGCTTTGTAAGTTTCTTGAGTGGAAACAGGCAGGGGAAATTAGGAGGTGTTAGCTAGGGGCAAGAGTAGTCAGCTGTGATTGGGGCAGTGTGTAAGGGAAAGCCGCATAATTGGGTTCAGAGCTGGTGCTGTTTGTGCTTCAGATGAGGTGTTGGCATTGGGCTGGCTGAAGGCAGAAGTGCTGGGCCAGGTCAAAGCAGGGCAGGATGCAGCCTGGTTGGGTCTTCCAGAGTGATCATAATCCTGACCTGTATTTTACTGCTCCGCAGATCCATCATGCGGGGCTGTGACAACATGTGTAGCTATTGCATTGTGCCCTTCACCCGTGGCCGTGAAAGGAGCCGGCCCATTGCCTCCATCCTGCAGGAAGTGAAGATGCTCTCGGATCAGGTCAGGCAGTGTGCCTCATTCCCACCTATCCCACACAATGGTTCTTAGTGAAAGTGTTTTTTCTGTGGCACCTTTGACAGATGATGCAGCCCTTATCTCTGGAGATGAGGTTACCACAGGGTTCCGCCAGTTGCTGTTTAATTGCCCTTGTAATATTGTGAGACTGACAGGGAAGGGAGGGCTTCCCTTGGAGATTCATCCTTGAAGTAAGAATAAAACCATGGCTGCTTCTGCAGCTTTAGCCTTCCTGACTAAGTTATATTTTTTTTGCCTCTGTTTATCTTTGTAGGGGGTGAAAGAAGTGACCCTTTTGGGTCAGAACGTTAACAGCTTTCGAGATATGTCTGAGGTCCACTTCCATTCAGCTGCTGCCCCAGTCCTCAGCCGTGGCTTTAGCACAGTCTACAAAGCTAAACCAGGAGGCTTGCGCTTTGCACATCTCCTGGACCAGGTCTCCAGAATTGACCCAGAAATGAGGATCCGTTTCACCTCTCCACACCCCAAGGATTTTCCTGATGAGGCAAGTATAAAATAAACACCCGGACCTTTGCCGGCAGGCAGGTGGCTGTGATTCGTTAGAGGTGAGTTGTGCCTCCTTCCCAAAGGGAAGAGCTGTCCTGGGAGGTGGGGGGATATATATACTCATGCTGACAGGTTTACAGTTTTCTCGCTTTTACTTGGGGAAGGCTCTTCCCTTTGGCATTCCGGCAGAGTTGGGCCATCTATGAGAGCGTCTCCTGAATGCCCTTCACAGGTCCTCCAGCTTATCCAGGAGCGACACAACATCTGCAAGCAGCTTCACCTCCCAGCCCAGAGTGGAAGCACGCGAGTCCTGGAGGCCATGAGACGGGGGTGAGCAATGGCCATGGAGAGCCCTCTACTCTGCCCTTCAATCTAATCTAGGGTGCTTTTTTTTCTCCTCGCTGACGTCATGGTTCTCTGACCAGCAAATCCATGTGTTGTGCACTGCAGATACACGAGAGAAGCGTATTTAGAGCTGGTACACCATGTGCGTGACTCCATTCCGGGTATGGGCTCCCTTTGGCTTGATCTGACCTCAGCACAGTTGTATCTTGCTGTCCATTCTTGAGTGTAGCATTCTTCTTGAGTGAAGCATAAAGCTGTGTGTCTGTGACAGGCGTGAGCTTGAGCAGCGATTTCATTGCTGGGTTCTGTGGGGAGACAGAAGAAGATCATCAGCAGACTGTATCTTTGCTACGGGAAGTCCGCTACAATGTAGGCTTCCTGTTTGCTTACAGCATGAGACAGGTGAGTGTGGGATCTGGTGGAGAATGTATGGTCACCTTGCCTACATTCTCATTTTCTGTTCCGTCCCTGACTCCTGAGTATTGTTTCTCACAATCTCTTTGCAAATAATACCTAGAGACTCAGTATGTTGGCGGGGCTTTCTGCTTACGTGCAGCACTTTAAGGGTATGTGAAGTTGTTTGGTGCTCATGCTGGGCAAGAGGAGTTAAGCTACAGGGTTTACTGCCTCTCCGCGTGCTCTGTAGAGCAACTTTTATGCCTATAAGGCTTCCAGCTCCCCTGGGTGAGCAGCAAGGTTGATTATTGATTGGGTGACCTGGTTCTGCAGACACTCCAGAGTGATTGCAGTGAAGCAGCCATGTCTGCAGAGACCTGACCGCAGGTAAATTTGTCTTTGCTGGTGAGAAATTGTGCTGATGTAGCTGGGCTCGAGTCCAGTTACAGAGACTTTCTGTCAATCAGGGCTGGAGAGAACTGGTGAATTTTCAGAAGGTATATCCAGCGGAAGAGGTGATGTGTGACAAGCTTCCATTAGGATGTTCTCCAAGGCATAAGAGGCTGGTGGGGAGAGAGGGCGGGAGGTTGAGAAGCATGAGGAAACAAAGGAGTATGGATCAGCTCTCAGAACATGGGACTAAAAGTCCCAAGGCATCTATTGCCTGTCTTTGTGGACAGCCAGGCAACAGACACATATCTCGCAGGAGCCGCAGAACTTTTCCTTCACGCAGCCCCAAATACTCTGTGCCATAGCACAAACCTTCTGCCAAAAAGGTGGTGCAGAAAGAACGTGAGGAAATCAAGGATGTTGCTGGTGCCTGGGATCCTGCCAGAGCAGCACATATAGTGGCTCAAGATGTTGCCTGAGGTTGCAAATATAGTTTGTGATCCATGGAAAGCTGTTGCTTGCTTGAAGTGCAGCCCAGCTGGCTGAGGTAAGACCAGACTGATCTCACGCTGTCTGGTTCTTGAGGGGCCACGCTTCTTTTGTTTGTTTGCAGAAAACCCGGGCGTATCACCGGCTGCAAGACGATGTGCCCACGGACATAAAACAGAGGTGGCTGGAGGAGCTCATTACTGTATTTAGAGAGGAGGCTTCAAGGGCCAACAGAGCCATGGTGGGCCACTCTCAGCTGGTGCTGGTGGAGGGGGTGAGTGTGTCTGGAACACAGACTTGTCCTCCTCCCCTCTTGCTGGTCAAGGGGCTCTTAGGCTATACACAGCAAGATCCCTTCTATCTTTCCAACTCACCCTTCCCCACATACTCCTAGGACTCCAAGACCAGGTCTATGCACTTAAGCAGGCAGCCTGATTTTCCAAAGTACTGAGCCGAGCACAAGATGGTGCCCAGTAAATGCATAATGTCCTTGATTTAGGACTTTAGCCGCCTTGCTCCTAAAATTCAGAGAGAGCCACCAGGAAGTCGCCCTACTCGGAATTCTGTAGGGTACAGGGTGTGAAGAGGTAACTAGATGAGACTGAAATGATTTATTATGGCTTATTGGCCTGGCACAGACAGCGTATTGGGTCCTTTATGTGCTTGTGAAGATGAGGCTCCTATCTGAAGTCCTGGAAAGGGATGGGATAGATTAGAGACCTGTCTCTAGGAATCAGTGCAGGTTTTCAAGTACTGGCTTTGGTGAGTGGCTCTCAACACAGCAGCTCTGGCCGTAGGACTTTGTTACACAGCATGCTTAACAGTGTGG